AACTTGAAGTTGTACCATAAAGACAAAAACAAATAGCACCAATGCTATAGAGCATTGTAAAATTCCTCGAGGTAACACATCTTCTAGCCAGAAGTAACGTGGAGCTGCCAGCACCAAACAAAACTGGGGGCCCAATAAACATCTTCGTGGATCAAAACCGGGAAAAGCCCACGCGCTCACAACCTATCAACAGCTCTAATTCTATCCCCAAATTTCTCATCTTCTCCACATCCTCCGCCAATCCTTCTCCCATTTCTTCCACAACCAATGATGCTCCTCCGTAGCGCCGCCGTCTCCTCCTCCGCCACCGCCGCGAATGTTCGCCTTACCGCCGCCACTCACTCCTCCCGAACCCCTCGCCGGACGACTACCATCAATTCCCTCTCCGTAAAAGCCAAATACGCAATCTCCAACGAGGACCTCGAGTCCCGCGGCTTCCTCCTCCGGCGAACCGCCGCCGACCTCGACCTGGACCAGCTGAACGCCGTGTTCGTCCGGGTCGGGTTCCCGAGGCGGGACCCGGATCGGATCAAGGTGGCGCTGGACCACACCAGCTCCCTGCTGTGGGTGCAGGACAAGCGGAGCGGGTGGCCCGTTGCCTTCGCCCGGGCCACCGGCGACGGGGTGTTCAACGCCATAATCTGGGACGTGGTGGTCGACCCGTCGTTTCAGGGGATCGGGTTGGGGAAGGCGGTGATCGAGAGGCTGGTGGATGAGATTTTGGAGCAAGGGATTGTGAACATTGCGCTGTATTCGGAGCCCCGGGTTCTCGGGTTTTACCGCCCGCTGGGGTTCGTTGCCGACCCGGATGGGATCCGCGGGATGGTGTTCTCCAGGAGGAATAAGAAGTGAATGAATGGTTCAGGTTATTACACGTGGCCGTCTCGTTCTTCTTTTCTTTAGTTTTTAACATTATTTTTTTTGTCCATTTAATTCTCTTTTTCGTTTTTTGGTTTGCGAGTAATTGAGAGAAATCCTAGCAAGTAGGGGTGTTCAAATGGTTACCATGGTTATAACCAAACCAAATAAGGCTAAATTCCATTAACCATGGAATACAATATCATAACCAAACCGTCCAAACTAATACAACAACCAAATTAACCAAACTAAAGTTTAATCGGTTTGGTTAATTGGTTAACCAGATTAACCAATATAAAATCACATTATCATTGACGATGAAAATTTTTCGGTTAATGCAATAATTCGCAATTTATATAATGAATAAAACATAACAATCAACACGTAGTTATAGTTGACCCTTAACAAAAATACATGCAACTAAGACAATTATCTTACGATTAGTATAGAAGTATTCACCTAACAAAAATTTATGACAATGGTATGGGTTAATGAATTGTTGTGTTTGTGTAAATTGACTTAGTCTCTTAGCAATTATCATAGGCTGGAAATGACCTTCCTTTCAAGTTTTCATCCATCATAATGTATGAAATTTATCTAAATTAGGCGTCAATATGTTGTGGTCTACATTTTACATATACAAATATACACTATATGAGCAATATTGAGCTTTATATTTTATGAGTCTAAAAGGGATGAACGTTAACTCTTGAGTGGTTATGCAAAATATTAAGTATGTGTATATAATATATGTTAGATATATGACTAATTACTTAACTGGTTAATTTGGTTTGACTGGTTAGGAGTGTCTGAAACCAAACCAAACCACCTAAACCAAACAAGCTAAAAACTTTAACCAAACCAAACCAATTATCCAAATTAACCAAACCAAATAATCCAAATAATACCGGTTAAAACGGTTACCATGGTAACCAAACCGTTTGAACACCCCTACTAGCAAGTGAACCCAAATCTATCCAATTGTCTCATATATAGCTAAGGTGACAAATGCCCATATCAGAACCATCTTTCAACTGTACCTCAATGACACTATATATCTTCGCTAAGTAGGTAGATCTTGAAACTTGTAGGCCAATAATTTGCAACCTCAATTCAACACAACATTACCATCCGCGTCTACATAAAACGTTGTGAGCATTGGCGCAATCATCATTATCACTGACATCAACATCATATTGAATGTTTGTGAACACTAATTTCTTCTGATCATCTCAGTTACCCGCATCTCGACCTTAAGCTCCGTGATAATGAGTTAATGACCGTGCAATGATGATTTATAAATTAAGGGATTTCCTATGGTAACTTGAAGTAAGGTAACTTGAATTTTTGTACCTGCTATAGCAGGTTTCACAGGTTGTATTACGTAAAACACAATAGGCATTACGTAATGGTTACGTAACATATGATAATCTTACATAACAGTTGTAAAAGGTCATTACGGAAGCCTTACGTAATAGAATGTGTCTTTACGTAATGAGTATTAACCTCGCATTACGTAAAATGCAAAGTCATTACGGAAGCCTTACGTAACGCTACTGAATTAACTGTTACGTAAGAAATAACTGTCGTTTCGTAACCTTTACGTAATGGGAGGTCTTTTTACGTAATGAGTCTTAACCTTGAGTTACGTAAAGTGCTAAGTCATTACGGAAGCCTTACGTAACGCTTCCGATTTAAGTGTTACGTAAGAAATAACTATCATTCCGTAACCTTTACGTAGTGAATGTGTATTTTACGTAACAGTTGTAAAATATAATTACGGAAGCCTTACGTAGTAGAAGGTCTTTTTACGTAATGAATATTAACGTCATGTTACGTAAAGAGCTAAGTTATTACGGAAGCCTTACGTAACACTTCTAATTCAATAAGAATTAAAAAAGGAAATGTTAAAATATGGAAAGACAACTAAATGTGAAAAAAGGAAAGAAAAAATTGAAAAAGGTAACTTGGGTATGTGGTGACCGGCAACTCATGTTGCCATTTATTTTTATAGTTAACTTTTTATTTTTATTTCTTTAATTAATGGTTTAAAATAAGTGTGATCAATTTTAACGGTTTAGATCTATACAAGTTACCTAACTTAAAATTATATCCAAATTACTGTAGGAGATCCATAAATTAATACTCATCGCCGAAACACCACTCTTCAGAGCCCGAGGATTGGGTAACCATACATCAGCAACTCATTGTCTGGACTAGTGATCATGTAGCTAAGATGAGTAACGGGATTGTCATATCAAAACCAGAAGTTCTACATGAGAGCAAATAAATCATTGGTGCATCCAAAAAGCTTACAATTCTGTTCTGTAATATAGGGATGAGCTTTGGTTTGGTTCAAACCTAAACGAACTACAACATACCGATACTTTGATTACCTTCAAAGTTCAAACCGATTTCGAACCGAAATATTATCGGTTTAGAATCGAAAACCCGATAAAATCGAGACCTCCCGTTCCTCTTAATGCAAATCTCACAAAATTCCCCTTCTTCTTCCCCTCGATCCCCATAACCCATCTCTCACTCTATAAACTCACTTCTTCAATTCCGAGCACTATGGGAGGAACCATTATTTCTTCTTCTCAGGGGCGGATACATGGGCCTCTAGGGGTGTCCCGGGACACCCCTAAAATTTGGGGAAACGATTATCCAACCTCCGATAATAGTTTCGTATGGGTATACAAAATATAATTGGTAATTCGGGACACCTTAACATTTGAAAAAATGATTATCCTACCCTCGATAATAGTTTGCTTATGATTAACAAAATATAAGTGGTAGTCCGTGTTATTCCAGCCTAGGACACTACTATTATCAAACATATTCTAATTATGTTGCTACTCATTTGTTATTCTATTTTAAACATCATGCAACAGTAAAACGCTATTTCTTTATCCCCAACTATTTTCAATACCTAATAATTAAACTACGTACACGCTACCCTTAATTTTGAATTGATTTTATGGTTACATGGCAAGTGTTGAAAGAGTCTTTTCTACTTCGAGCTACATTAAGAACAAGGTTAGAAATCGAATATGTGATAAGTTCGTGAAGTATTGTCTAGTAGGATATGTAGATTTTTTTTTAACAGTGCAGACACGGAGTTTATTTATATTATTTTTTCAAAATATGAAAACACATCATGAATTTTAATAAAAAATTTATACAAGTATGATATTTTTAATATACGCATTTTTTAATTTATTATTTAATTTAATTTTTAAGAGGACACCCCTGTAAAAATTTTCTGAATCCGCCACTGCTTCTTCTCCTCTTCTTTCTCGTTGCTTCCATTGGTGCATTGCCAGCTCACTTCCCTAAACACCACAGCCACCAATCTCAATATTTCGCTTCCCCTAATTCCACCACCAACGGCCAAATCAACTCAAACTTCGTCGTCCCGCGCCATGATCTGAGGGGTGAGGGGGAAAGGTTTGGGCCAAGGCCCGAGGTTAGGTACGTTGAGGAGTGAGGGTGAGGTCAGATATGTGGGCTGGATAATTTTTGGTTGTTTGGTTTGGTAATCGAAATCTCGGTTCGGTCGATAAGACTCTGGTCGAACTAACCACATTTTCTTTCCACATTTCAAAACGAATAACTTTAATTTAGTTTTGGGTTGATTTTGAACGATTTTGGATTGGTTCAATTTGGGTTTACCGAATTGGATGTCCATCCCTAATGTAGTGGGCGATCCACCAGTGAAGGACTGAGAAATTGAGGAGTTAGCTCGTTTCATTAATTGGGCTTAGGCCTCTCTTTCAGGTCCGTGTAATAGGGCTGGTAGACTCACGGTAGCCAATATTAGTTTTAGTTTCGGTCTTTGGGCTTATTTTTTGAGGTCCGCCGAATCTCATCAACTACTAGGGAAGTAGGGATGATCGCAATGGGAAGGGTCGAGTGCGAGTTTCCCCTATACCAACTCTTAACCCGTCGGGTAGAGCTTTTTAAAATACCCGACCAAATAACCACCAGGTATGAAAATTATATAACCATACCCTACCCACCGGGTAATGTCACGGACCAACTCTTGGCCGTGCGGCACTTAGCACTCAAGTCTCGTTAGAGCGCTAAGTCAGCCTTGCTCGTATTCACTCAAACTCACAAGTGTTAGAGAAAACTCTATAGATGGAAATCTCTCAATTTCTGGATGAATGAAAAGTGGTGGAGAGGGCTGCTTATATAGGCATCCTCTCCACTAAGTACAATGTACATGGCCGTCATAAATGAACGAACCTAGATAGTCCCCCCATACATGAACCAGCCCCATACATGAATGTAATTAATGAGATACATGAATAAAGATAGAAAAAGGGGGATGCATGTACATAGGTGCATGAATCGGAAGATGCATGCACGTACTTGCATCGTTCTAGAATGCTCTAGAATCTTCCGCGTAACATTCTCCCCCACTCAATCTCGCGACGCCCTCGTCGCGGACTCCGCATGAAATGCCTCGATCAAGTCTTTGTGACGCCATAGCGAAAGCTCCTTCTCCCATGTGATGTCGCTTTCTGGCCGCCCCTTCCACTTGACGAGATACTCCGCGTAGCTTGGATGAACACCACGCCTAGGCACAACACGATGAGCCAAGATCTCCTCCACTTCGTGCTCATGCGTTGTAGTGACGAGTGTTGGTGCTCTCGCTGACTCCTTCCGCGCTCCATCTTCCTTGTCTTCATGATATGCCTTCAATTGACTCACATGGAAGACGGGGTGAATCTCCAAGTGCGATGGCAACTCAACTTTGTACGCCACCGTGCCAATCCGCTTCAAAATCGGAAATGGCCCTTCATATCGTCGCAACAGCCCCTTGTGCACATTTTTGAGGTGCTTGAATCGATGAGGGAAGAACTTCACCATCACCAAGTCTCCCTCCTCGAATTCCAAGTGACGCCGCTTCTTATCCGCCCACTTCTTCATCTTCTTCGTTGCTCGAGCGAGATAAGACTTCGCCAACTCCATCTTCTCGTGCCATCCTCGTGCAAACTTGTAGGCAGATGGGCTATTGCCCTTGTACCCCGTCGTCACCGTATTAGGTGTCAACGGCTGCTGGCCAGTCGCCAACTCGAATGGACTCATGCTTGTGGCTTCACTTCGATGTAAGTTGTAGGAGAATTGGGCTACATCCAATAGCTTCACCCAATCCTTCTGGTTGGCACTCACATAATGCCGCAAGTAGACCTCCACCAAAGCATTGACCCGCTCGGTTTGCCCATCCGTTTGAGGATGAAAGCTCGTGGAGAAGTTCAGATCGGAGCCCATCATCTTGAACAACTCCCTCCAAAACTTGCCGGTGAAGCGGCCATCTCTATCGCTGACGATGCTAACCGGGATGCCCCAATACTTCACAACATGCTTGAAAAACAAGCGGGCTGCATCCTCGGCCGTCATGTCTTTGGGCCCTGCGATGAAGACGCCATACTTCGAAAATCTGTCAACGACGACCATGATGGAACCACACCCTTCGACTTTGGGAAGGCCGATGATGAAATCCATGCTCACGCTTTCCCAAGGCCGTTGTGGAGTGGGTAATGGCTCCAACAAGCCCGCCGGACTCCGCTGCTCCATCTTATCTTGCTGGCAAACAAGACAAGTCTTGACGTAGAGTTCCACGTCGTCCTTCATACGAGGCCAATAGTAAGCCTCCTCGATGAGAGCTTGTGTGCGCTCAATGCCGGGATGACCAGCCCACTTGGAGTCGTGGCACTCCTTCATGATCTCCCTTCGTAGGTTGTCCCACCGCGGCACGAACACTCGCTCCCCCTTAGTCACGATGAGTCCGCCTTTCATCCAAAACCGCCGAGTCTTCCCTTGCTTGATGTACTCGACCACGGTTTTGGCGAAGGGGTCGTGCCCAAGGCCTTCTTCGATCCTCTCCTTCAAGGGGAATTGCGGCTGGCTGATGGCGGCAAGTGCGCTCTTTCGGCTAAGAGCGTCGGCAACAAAGTTGGCTTTCCCCGGCTTGTACTCCAGCACAAAGTCGAACTCCGCGAGGAAGTCTTGCCACCTTGCTTGCTTGGGCGTGAGCTTCCTCTGTGTGAGGAAGTAACTCGTCGCCACATTGTCCGTCTTTACAACGAACTTCGACCCAAGCAAGTAATGCCTCCACGTTCTCAAACAATGGACCACCGCCGTCATCTCCTTCTCTTGCACCGCATATCTTCTCTCGGCCTCATTGAGCTTGCGGCTCTCAAAAGCAATTGGGTGCCCTTCTTGCATCAACACCCCACCGATTGCAAAATCGGAAGCATCTGTTTGCACTTCGTACGCCTTCGTTGGATCGGGAAGTGCTAGAACCGGCTCCTTCGTCACCGCATCCTTCAAGGCTTCAAATGCTTCGCGGCACCGATCCGACCATTCCCAAGCCTTGTTCTTCTTTAGAAGATCCGTCAAGGGTGCTGCAAGAGCGGAGTATCCCTTGATGAATCTCCTATAATAGTTGGCCAGGCCGAGGAATGATCGCAACTCGGTGACCCTCGTTGGTGGCTCCCATCCTTGTATCGCCTCCACCTTGGCCTCGTCCATTTTTAGCTTGCCTCCGCCAATGATGTGGCCGAGGAAAGGAACCTCCGCTGCTGCAAACGTGCACTTCTCCTTCTTGACGTAGAGCTCGTTGTCTCGAAGGACTTGAAACACTTGTCGCAAGTGCTCGGCATGCTCATCGAGTGTGTTGCTGTACACCACGATGTCATCCAAGTACACCACCACGAAGCGATCCAAGAACGGCTCGAAAACTTGGTTCATCAAGGTGCAAAAAGTAGCAGGAGCGTTTGTTAGTCCAAAAGGCATAACAAGGAACTCGTATGAGCCATACCTCGTGACGCAAGCAGTCTTTGCCTCGTCCCCCTCGGCGATTCTCACTTGGTAGTACCCCGAGCGAAGATCGAGCTTCGTGAACCACTTTGCTTCTCCGAGTTGATCGAACAAGTCGCCAATATTGGGGATGGGCCACTTGTTCTTCACCGTGAGCTTGTTAATAGCTCGATAATCGATGCACATCCGCAACGATCCGTCTTTCTTCTTCTGGAACAAAACGGGTGCTCCATAGGGTGATTTCGAGGATTGGATGAAGCCAGCATCCAACAACTCCTTGAGTTGCTTCCTCAATTCCTCCAACTCGGGAGGAGCCATGCGATAAGGTGCTCGTGATGGTGGCGTCGCCCCTTGCTCAAGCTCGATCTTGTGATCGACTTCTCTTCTTGGCGGGAGCTTCTTTGGTAGTTCTTTTGGCATCACATCTACGAACTCCTCCAACACGCCCTCGATGAGAGGTGTTGACGCCACCGAGCCTCCTTCTTCCTTCGCACGCAAAGTGACAAGGAACGTGGGTTCATTCCTCTTCATTCCCTTCACCAACTGCATGGCCGATAGTGCTCTCTTCGGCCCTTCTTCGCGCAACATCTTCACCGCGCAAAACTTGTCTCCCTTGTCAAGGCAAAGAGTGTTGGAACTCATTGCCATCACCGCGCCCTCCTTCTCCATGAAATTGACGCCAAGAATGACCGGATGGTCATCCATAGTGATGACGCTGAAGTCGGCAACACCTTCCCATCCTTCGATCTTCAATGGCACGTTCCTAGCAACGCCATGGATGGGTATTGCCTCCGAGTTGACGGTCTTGAGCGATCCTTGCCTCTTCTCGTAAGCGATCCCCAAGCGCTCCGCCTCCTCCACTCGAAGGAAGTTGTCGGTCGCACCGGTGTCAACCAATGCTTTTGACTCGCCTCCTTCGAATTGGGTGATTACAAAGAATCTCCCTTTGCTAACTTCGTTGGCGCCGGACTTCGCCGCGCCTAGTCTCCGCATGGAGCCTATCTTCCCTTCGTCTTCCCTAGCATTCTCCTTGGTCTCCCCTTCTTGTTTCTCCAGGGCTGCTAGCTTGCTCTTCTTTGGGCAATCTCGCACCTTATGTGGGCCGTTGCAAAGGAAACAAGACATGGGTTTGTCAAAGTTACCAGACCTTGCTCCCTTGCTTGAGCCTCCATGTTGGTACGAGCCTCTTCCTTCTTTGGAGTGCTGCCGATGATCTCCTCCTTTGCCCTTCGAGTTCTTCGACTCGCTCGGCCGCTCACTCTTCTTGTACTCCGTGAGAGCCTCTGCCGTTGCTAAGGCAGTAGCAAGATCTTGCACTCCACGCCTCTCGAGCTCCAACTTCGCCCAGGGTTGCAATCCGAAAAGGAAGTTAAACAAAGCTTCCTTATCCGGCAGATCGGGGATCTCGAGTAGCAATTCCGAGAATTCCTTGACATAGTCACGAATTCCGCCGGTGTGGGTGAGTCGTCGAAGCTTTGCACGAGCTTCCATTTCGACATTCTCTGGGTAGAATTGTCTCTTGATTTCCCGACGGAAATCCTCCCATGTGTCCATCGCACATGTGCCTCTCTCGATATCACCTTGCTTCCTTCTCCACCAAACCATGGCCGTGTCGACCAAGTAGAGGGAGGCAGTACGCACCATGACTTCATCATCATTGATGCCCGAAGCCTTGAAATATTGTTCTAGGCTCCAGAGGAAATTCTCTAATTCCCTCGCATTCCTCGACCCACCGAAGTTTTTAGGCCTTGGAACATCTACTCGTGGTGCGGATTGAGTCGCGGCAGGCCCGTTAGCCACGGCTCTTTTGACGAGATTGAGCTCTCCTCGAAGCTCGTCAAATTCTTCCTTTGCTTCGTCAAGCTGGCCTCGAACTGTCTCCCTCAAGGCGTCGATGGCGTTGGTGATGATGGTCACAAACTCGTCTCTGAATGCTTCCAATCCCACCTCCAAGCCTGACATTCGAGTGCCCATGCCTTGCATGTCGTCCTTCGAAGTCTGCACCACTCCGCTGACTTGATCGAATTTCGACTCCATGTCCTCGAACAAGGATGTATGCTTGGCAATCTTCGTCTCCGCTTTCTTGAGCCTCTCCTCGATCGCCACCAAAGGCTCTCGAGTTGATCCACCACGATTCTTCCTTGCATTTGGATCCTTCTTCTCCTCACGACCGCGATGTTCCTCATTGTTGAGAACTTCGCTTCCGGATCCAGCCATCTCCTCGAGGTTCTTTCTCACTTGATGAGCTACGACCTTAGCTCTGATACCACTTGTCACGGACCAACTCTTGGCCGTGCGGCACTTAGCACTCAAGTCTCGTTAGAGCGCTAAGTCAGCCTTGCTCGTATTCACTCAAACTCACAAGTGTTAGAGAAAACTCTATAGATGGAAATCTCTCAATTTCTGGATGAATGAAAAGTGGTGGAGAGGGCTGCTTATATAGGCATCCTCTCCACTAAGTACAATGTACATGGCCGTCATAAATGAACGAACCTAGATAGTCCCCCCATACATGAACCAGCCCCATACATGAATGTAATTAATGAGATACATGAATAAAGATAGAAAAAGGGGGATGCATGTACATAGGTGCATGAATCGGAAGATGCATGCACGTACTTGCATCGTTCTAGAATGCTCTAGAATCTTCCGCGTAACAGTAACCACGAGTATTCGGGTAACAATGAGTACGAATCCTAAACTATGAACTTATACACATATATGCACATACATGTTGTTGTCCATTAAAAATTCTCAATAATTGTAACTGTTCTAACTTCAACAATCCACACAAATAAAAACAGCAAACACATAATAATTGTTCTTGCTTCTGCAATCCACACAAACATAATAATCGTCTACATCTTCATCATCAATAATGGTAGCTAAACTCAATTTCTCAAGCTAAAATAAATTTCTCAAGGGAAATTGACCCTTTGGTTAGCGGGGCGGGTATTATCGATTACCATACCCGTACCCTACCCTTTATTTTGAAACCGGATATTGTCCGTACCCGCCCCTTAACCCGTTAAAGCGGGTAATTACCCTCGTTGACCGGTTACGATTGGGTAGGGTACCCATGGTTACAAGTTGGATTGACATCCCTATCAACTACACTCAGAAGTCAAGCCCATTATCATGTACCAACAACGGTGCTAAATAATTTCAAGTTTGTAACTTAGGTTGTTTGGCAGTTATGATTTTATATAAATGATTATTTGAATTTATGTATTCTAAAAAAATTAATCGTTTTTTGTTTCAAAAATTTTATTTAATACATGCATATGAGGTGGGCTCTCAAATCTCATATCACTCAGAATCACGCATTTTAAATCTCAACAAAAAGGTGAGATTCTTCCTTTGAGATTGTGGGCTTTAATTTGTTCCACTTTTAGCTCATAAAGTGATTTTTTTTTCTTTTTCTTAAAATTTTTGAATTGCTACATACAAACAAGACATTCGTCCAATCATCTAATTCGTATAATCTTAATATTTTTAGTACATGTACATTCATCAAATACACATATTTGAAGAATCTCAACTTCCAAACGAAACCCTTACTTCATGATAGTTAGCGGGGTGTTATGGCTCTTTAATTTCTCGCTTGTTGTTTCGTTATCCTTTTTTTCCAGAGGGCTTATATAACACAAGGCTGTGTTGTGTAGGGTAGTGAGGAGAATGGTCCTAAAAACGCCAGGGGATCTCTCCATCCCAATATCGTCCCTTTCTCTTTCTGAATCAAATCGTAAGGAGACTTGGAAAACAGCGACATTTGAGGTGGTGAAGGGATTTGCAGTCCCAGCTCCCACTGCTCCCAACCCACCACCTCCTTGCGAAACCTGTGACTATGTATATTATGGCCTAAAGCCCAACTCGCCTCTCCTCTGTGATCAATTCAATTTTATATACATGGTAGGGAAACGAAAGGCCCATCTCATTTAATTTACACAGTCTGCCCTACGAATGTTTGTACCCCTAAATTATATTTGGACCACACCCTTCACCATTCTCTCGTTACTTCTTCTTCTTCGTCCTCCTCCTCCTCCCTGCAGCTCCTTGGCTTTTCCTTTGTATCTTTCCTTCCCCTTTGTAACTTGGTCCAATTTTTCCTTACGTACCATTCCAGATCAAGACATATTTATCATCAATCATATATAATTTAGGGGGGAGGGAAAATGTACTGATCAATAAGTGCATGGGTCCATTTGGAACATGTTTGTAGTTGTACACAGCAAAATTGGACCAAGTTATTTCCAGAAGAAAACAAAAGGGGGACCCACAGTTTTTTAGGACCTAGTTAGTTATTTTGGAAATGGATTATATGATCATCTCGATAACTCAAATTGTTGGTTGTATTACTGGACACTAATTGTTCTTCTATATGCTCACTGATTCTGTAAAGGAAGAAGAACAGAAGCGGAGATCAATAAGTTAAGTTAGTTTTCCGCACGTGAATGATTTATGATTGAACGAGTTCAAATGAAATGTTGTTTGCAGTGTATATGCATGCGTACGAACGAATGTTTAGCTACCAACTAAGATTTATTAATGAAGGCAAGGACGGCTTCCAAGTTTGGCATTTACCTGAGGCGAGGGAACGACGTTCGACGTGGACGTGTAATGGAGGTTGGCAGGTTGCAGCAGTAGCAGGCCCAACCGACGTCCATTATGGCCCCAGCCCATTGGATCCTGATCATCTTTGTGTGTGGTGCCCAACGTTATCGTGGAAGGCTCCAAGACTCCAACTAACTAGAGTGCCATCCCATCCGTTTAATTATATACTCTCTTTTCGCGTCTGAAATTTGGTTGGTGAGAAGAAAAGAAGAAAGGGTTTGGACAAAAACCCTTCTGGCTCCATCTCTACGTATATACAATTTGTCGCTGGACCATATATACATCCTTCCTAATGGAGAATTGGACATATGTTTTGCATTGCTCTGAGGAACTTCAAGAAATCTTACTTGATTCGTTACTCGACAGTCAATGGACGTCTCTATAACTTGAATTGTTGGTAGAAGTTTGATAATGGATCTTGTACCACATACTAGAGCTAGCACGTTCCTTCGAACAAAAGTCACTCATATGGGTTTTAAGTTTCCACACATAGGAATCAGATGACACCATGTACTTACCAATGAAAGTCATCGAGATTCAAATAAAAAACATGTTGGGCACAAAGGCTCTGAAACTTGAGAGGTCTATGTTAGATAAAAAGGTAACACACCAAGAGTAGCGGAGAGCCAAAGACGACGGCAAAAGCATAAGTTTGGATTCGGGAGGTCCTAATTTCAAATTTTGATAATTATAATTTCTTTGTTATTTTCTTGACAGGACTATGTGCACGTCCTTGTTATAAGAACCGAACCGGATCAACGATCGGGCCAGTAGAACCGTCAAACCAGTTACGATAGCGGTCCGGTTCATTGTTTGAACGGTTATTGATGGACCAAACGGTTTTTCACGGTTCAACATAAAATCAGATGAACCGACACGGTTTAGCTGGTCCATTAGTTCACTATTTTAACATAAACTACGACCATCAAATCATAATTATTAATTTTATATATGCTTCCTCAACCTTATTGTCGATTTTACATTGTCTACTACCAACTAGAACCATAATTTTTAATTTGAATTAAAAAATGTGGTTTCTTTTGTGAGATGGTTGGAATGATATATTAGATATTTTCGTGATGAGATGAATTTGAACTTGTTTTATTTGTTTATGGTCAATGATAATTTCATTCTTAAATTAGTGTAATATACAAGTCTTATATGTTATATATCATTTAACGGTTCTATCAACGGTTCACCAACGGTTTTGTAACGGTTAACCGGTGAACCCTTAAACCACTAACTTTTCCGGTTCAGCCTCCGATCCGGTTCTGAAAACAGAGGTGCACGTTTTAACTCTTCACTACTTCTATGAATTTGTTGATATTAATAAAAATCGATATTTTTTTTCTCGAATTCGCTTAACCTGGTTGTAACCAAGTTTTATGGAATGTTGATTACCTGCTAAATTTTGTTTTCTTTATTAGAAGATTTTGGAGATTCCATATGCGTTATCTTTGTTTTTTTCTTCTTTTCCTTTTTTCCTGTTTTCGATTTAACTCTTTTTCCCCCTTCTTTATAAGTTGAAACACGCTACGGTCCAATCGATCCTAACTACCCAAAGGCAAAGGGAAGATGAACAAAGACATTACGGGCCTAAATCAAAAGATTTTGTCCCCCAATTTCAACATTCCGCTTTGCCCTCTTTCTTCTTTTGCCTTTTCTTTTCCTCCCTTTTGGAAGTGGGATCTAATTGCATCTAAATCCCACTTTCTAATTAAATCTTGTACTAGAAACCACCTTTAGGAGGCTAATTATACTCCATAATCCTCTCCTGGGTACCTTTTTAGCTCATCATTGACACCTATTTCCAGGGTAGCTATACATATAGTCGCCTACACAAAGCTCGCTGCTAACGGTTTCTTTTTCTAATGTGAGGGGGAGATATACACCATTTCAAAGCTACATGCTACTAGGAATGATAATTGAGCCCAAATCTGCAGCATGACCAGATTTGGTCATTCAGCATAAAACCATATGCCAATAGGTTTAAAGTAGGATTCAAGATATGTTAGAGCATTGTGCCACATTTGAAAAGAGGCGGAGAGAACTGAACTGTAATCCAACGAGTACGTTACTAGCTCTGGATCCAAAGTAGGGTTGGGCAGCGGCCCAGGGATGGCCCCTAGATTCGCCGGTGAATAGGTTTTGGGTCGGGTAACGACAAAATTCAATTTTGAAATTAGTGGGATGGTTCAGATGAGGGTTTGGCTAAATTCCAACCTTTTTCATACGACTCACACTCAAAGACAAAAGTTGCTTTGTACTCTAAATTTTCAAGTCGACATTATTTTAGTGTTTTATAATTTATTACAAAGTTTAATTGTGGTAAACAAGGGCTTAGTGTAGTGGTACTATCACTAGTCTTTAATCTGGAGGTCCAAGGTTTGAATATTTTAAATTACACAAAATGGTAAAAATCAACCTATGTTCCCCTTATAAAAAAATAATTAGTATGATGCATGGATAATTCATTAATTTGATATATTACAATCTTTATTACATGCAGTTGTAGGGAACATTTCGATAATATAAAAATATTAGTGTTTGAAGGATATAAGTCATGATTATGTTTTTGTATTCATGGTTACCCATGCACCCACAAATACTCATGTAACAAATATTAAACCCAATAGACTGGGTTGAATTTGCTCCTCTATAACTAAATAGATTATGTAGAAAAACAAATAGATATATATTCTGTTGATTTTTTTTACCTATAGATCCTCTGAATTGAATTTGAGTTCGAAGAAACCTAATATAATGTCATACTTAAATACAACAAAATAATAGAGTTGGCAATAAGTGCGGTTGCGGTTAATCGCACCGAAATTTGTGGTTAACATCAACCAAAATAGTCATATATGCTAACCGCATCCGCATCACAAACAATTAGCAGTTAACCGCAAAGTTCAGTTAACCGCAATGCAAACCATTTTTACCGTAACAAGGTCTAGGATTGAAGGTGTTGCCATGCTAGCTACGACCGATGGCTATGGAGGCGGTGTGTGTCCCATATTCGATGGTGTTTCGCCGAGATACCTTGTGTTTTGAAGAGTGAATTTCGAAGACGACAACATGCAAGAGAAATCTGGAAAGACCTTCGAAGTTCTTATTCACTTTGAGATTAATTACAAATTGCATGGTTAGTTCTTGTTCGGTTGTAAAACTGCTACCGCAAAAACAACTAATATCACTGACCGCAACCACAATAGAGCCTTCTTATTCCGTATGTGATTGACAACAAACCGTACGGTGATGAACGATTTAACTGCAAAACCACAACCGTATTGTCACCCCTACCAAAAAAAAGTTCGATGAAAGGAATCCATAGGATCGAGACATGCATAAGATTGTCAATATGAGCGGAAAATGAACGGAAATGATAAAATAGAGATGGCGGGTCACCGGTCATGAATATAAAGATAATAATACACCCGTCATTCACGCTACACTTAAAACAAAGATTTTAGATCCACAGAAAGTAATTTAACGCAGGTGAAAATGGGAACTAACTAATTTTTCCCTTTTTAATAGTTTATTAGAGTTCTCTATAGGAAATTGCGAAATAGTTAGTTAATAAAAAAAAATTTATCCAAGATAAGCTCACACAGGGAATGGTCGGACAACAACAATATGAAAGTGACAATAATAAAGAACAGTAGTCCATGCAACCGAACTCCCGATAAAAGAGCATGTTATGCCATGAGGTGGTCAGCTCTATGAAAGTTTCAAAGAGCAAAATGACACGAGACTGACACAAAAAGTGAGAAGAGAGAAAGAATAAATTTTTTAAAATAGAGACGACTCTCAAACGGGAAGACTTCTTTTCTAAAGCATCTCTTATGTTAATAATTAATTGATCATGACAAATCATTTTCCTTACCAATAAAAACTTTCACTTACTCATTTAGTTAGCATAATGTAAAATAATAATAACAAATAGCCAACGTTCTCTCTACACTCCAATCTCCATCAAATATATATTTGATGTATTGTGCAGGTCTTTGTTTATTGTTCTTCCTCCAAGTTTTACAGAAGGAAGCAAGAGTAAAAAAATAATGCACTAGCTAGCTGTGATCCACCCTTCCCGTTTGCTGGTGTAAAAAGGAAGTCGTGATTTCATTCATCAAACCGGTAAAAGATTATATTATTACCCCTTATGGCTCATATACAGTAAACTTAAAAGTCCTAATAGCAAATCAGAACATAAAAAAGCATTACATAATGACTCTAATAGTCTAATACAATTCGTTTTTCACACCATACTCCAGTGTACGTATTTACGAAGAAGTATCAACAGTACTTATTCACCTTTGGCAACCAAACAAATATACCGTTAAACTGGAAAACAACGATTTTTTTTTTTTTTGTATTTTAAATTAACTATCTTCAAGCAATTGAATTAGCGATACTGCAGGAAAAAATTAGCACAACTCAGGTTAAAATGTACGTTACCACCAGTTTGAACATAGCATGAGTATCAATATGTATGAGTATCAAGAGGGCCCTTGGGATGAGATTAGAAGAGGCGATCCGCTTTGTTAAAAGGACAGCGAATGAAGCGACGCATCTAATGATCAAATGTAATACAAACTTGAACTCACCAGTAGTATGGCTAGATAGGCCACCGATGATTGTGATTGATCAGCTACGGCTGGACGATGTGACAGCAGTTTCTGATTAATAAAGCTCAATACAGGTTGACATAAAAAATAAAAATAAAAACATAGCAAGAAAAGTTAATCTCATTATCATGATGCAATTTGTAACCCTTTATAAAAATATAGAAGTAAATTGAAAATTTCACCAAATCAACACAATATATTTTGCTAACCATGTCGTAATCTAGATGGTTAAACTATTGAACTCACTGAAAAGATGTATTAGGTGCAAATTCACCGATTCAGACTGAGACTCTCGCAAAAGCACCATCTCATTCTTTTACGAGGATGAAAAATATAAGATATTCCAGATCACCACTGATGCAAGCCTCAAGAGTGACCAAAGTGATTCTCATCGAAGTTTAAAGATGAGCACACCTCGTGGAAGCAAGGAGGGCTGGATAGCACAAAATGGCCAGCCACAAATACCAATTCCCCGACCGGGGATTAGCAGCTCAGACTGGGGATGATGCAGAGAGGGACCCCCGGCCAGAAAGGGCCAAATCCCCACCCGGGGATCAGAAAGAAACGACCGAGGATTGGAACAGAAGAGTTCCTTTGTCAGGAGGGAGTTATTCCACATTCAGGGATCTGAACGCGCGCGATCGGGTATTGGGCGCTGACGAGGTCAACTTACCTTTTGAGTTTAGAATTCTTTTTCTTTTCGAGTTTTTTATTAGTTTGTGTTTCTTTGACCTATTTAGAGACTTAGACTCAAGTTTGAGGGAGACTTTTGAAGATTATTGAGTTTATTCTTGGTTCATCGAGCTTTTAGCTTGTGAATTGTGCTTTGTATCAATCGAGTATTCCCTTTGATTGTGGCCAACCTTCTACTCTATATTGATAGGGCCTTCTCCCACATGTGAGATAGCAATTCAATCTCGTTATATCCTTAATCCTAACCCTTGTTCTTGGTTGTGTGACTTTAATAACTACGCGCATCAGTTCCGTGTTCGTGTCAACCACCAAATGTTTTTAAATCTTGAGCACATTTGTACTGACTTCAACTCTGTTTACATGGTCATTTACCTGGTTTATTTGTTAAATTATAATTTTTTAATTCCACAATCTGTACTAACTAGATTAGATCGACATTTTTTTGGTTTAGATTAGATCTTCTTTCAATATGAGTATTCTTCTTCTTCTTTTCTTCTTGTTCTTATAATTGTAAGTTGCATCCAAGTAGGCAGCATTAAATTTGGTCAGTAATGTCACATTGGGAAAGCCAAGTTGTGGGGAGAAAAGCCCTCCACAAAACAAGGCGCCCAAAGTAAAGACTAAAGAGTGCAGGCAGCCAGGCACAGGTTAAATTAGGTAGCGTGCCAGCAAGAGTATGTAGGCTGCAGAGAAGACGTCTGGAAGGAAGTGCTAAGTCATAAACCCTAGGAGGAGGAGAGGCGCCCAAAAACCCTAAAAACAATTTTAAACACAAGGCATGCATGGATGCAACATCCCTCAATTACAAGTGTTTAAACGGATTGGTTACTGTGGTAACCATATTAACCGATAGCATTCGGTTAATTTGGTTTGGTTAAACAATTTAGTTTATTTGATTTGGTTTCAACATTGCTAACCAATGAAACCAATTAACCAATTAATGATACACGTACTTATACTTCCATGCAACCAACGAAACCAAACTTTCGTGATTCCCTATTTTATTTCCATGTGCACAACAAATCAAAGCATTATGAGTCAAAAATTAAATGGGCCTGCTTATTTACTAAACCAAAACATTTTGGACAGCTACTAGATTTTAGGATTACGTACAGTACTATGACATACACTTCAAATTATGTATAGTTTAAGTGTTTTGTAGGAGAGCATTAACTTCCTGATGAGTGGTATTGGTATGTATTTAATATTTATGTTAAGGGTTTGTTGTAAGCTAGTTATATTAGGTGCAGAGATGATGAATGATGTATTAACTCGAATGATGATGATAATCATAGATGATTAGTCTTATTATTATTGCTTATATATAATGATAGTTTATGATAGTAATAACATATGGTTATGTTTTATTCATTAACAATATAATTGTTTTCATGTAATGTTATGTTATTTAGTTAATCCGATTATCCAATTAACCAAATCAATTAAATTTTGGTTTGGTTAATTTGGTTTTCGTGTTAATTTGGACGGTTTGGTTAAAACATTTTATTCCATAGTTAATAAAATTTAGGTTTAATTGGTTTGGTTATTACCACTGTAACCATTTGAACACCCTTACCCTCAATCGTGGTCATTCAACGATCATAAAGCGTACAGGGCCCGCTCGGATGATTGTAAACGCTTTAATGCATTGTTGTAGATGGTGTTGTAAAAACTAAAAAACTTTACTTGGATTGCTCTAGCAGTAGAATGTGCAGTTTCTCGCTAAAACTGGACCAATTAGAATAAAACCATATGAAAAATAAACAGAAATAGATTATCGAAATCTCGTTGAAAGTTCATATGGTGTGATTGTGGTCCAAATTTTTCTTCATCGTTAAGAAATTATTCTAAAAACTGAAGTCGGGTCTCATTATCATCAACATAATCCAACTCGATTCTAATTTTTGTTTCGATCTGATTTGATGATCCAAAATGAACCGAATCATCATTATTATATTATAAAAGCATGGTAAAAGAATTAATACGAAAATCATTGGGTTCTTAAACATTAACAACTGTCGTGCTATGAAAACCATAAAAATATATGTGCCGATTCAGCCCAACGAGGTCAAACATCAAGTGATATTATTATTAACTACGAAGGATAAAAAAAATATTATTAATTAAGTAGTGGTAATAAATGTGGACAGTGGATGAAGATCTACATTCTACATCGCGTCAGAAAAAAAAATTACTTACTGATAATCCCTCGTTAATTAAGGGAATGACCGACAGGTTGTTCATCCCTCCACATGCTACATCCAAATTTAACCGCCTTGTTGTTTTTCTTAATCATATGTTACCAAATTTACAGAGGAATATGATTGTTAAAAGACTTTGAAAAAGTAACTACAAATATTGACATATTCAAATTCAAGCCTTAGAAAAATAGGCTGGGTTCTCACTTAAAGTTTACAATCGCATCAATTGAATTCTCATCAATATTCTTATCTAGTTGGTTTATGTGTTTGTAAAACTATCACCAAAAGTTAGTTATCTATAAAAGGAGTTTTTAACTACGAATTACAAGACAAATAAGTGAGCAATTAATTGATGACTTGATAAATAATTGCTTAGGAAGAGTCATGTGGAAAGATATATGCATGTATATGATATTTCAATAATTGAATTTAATGTTACTCAATTTATACAATGTGTTTTGTTCAAAGAACGCCAAGGTAGAAGCAATTCGCATACGCTGAAGACAAGGCAAAAAACATATTTTTTTTTACTGAGAACAGGTGTAATATGATAATTGACTAAACGAACTGCATCAACCACGACCTCAGGCCGAAAACGACCAGGAACATGAGAATGAGAAGAGCTCTCAAGTCTCATATGTTCAACACAACGTTACTCAATTTACACACATGGAAGCTCACTTATCTAAAAATCTTGGTTGCATCATTGCTCACAAGTCACAAACCTCAATGTTGTGACTCTATCTTAGCTTGTTAAGTTAGTTAACATGCTGACTTTTCTTCTAAACTCATAAGCTGTTAGATAGATTCACTCATAAGTTGTTAGCCAAACTTGCTCGCTAATGAGCTTGCTAATTAGCTCAAAATGAGGCAACTCACGGGTTGATAAATTGGCATCAATAAGCCGGCAAATTAAGTTTATTCGGGAACATCACAAGTTGAGCAAAGTTTAGCTCAACCTCAATCTCTTCAATAAACAAGCAAAGTATGTTAGTAAATGATATATGATCCACAACTGAACCTTTCTCAATAACTCCTTTTTTTAGATCAACTGATTTTCTCTAACCAAAGAACTCTTGTTAAATCCTGATAACCCCTCATCTGCTTCTTGACAAAGTATTGCCACATTTTGCTTCATCCTAATTTCATTTTGGGCAGAATTAATAAGGAGGCAATCAGGCAAGAGCAAGAGCTAGCTGTAAGTAAACTTTTTTTATCTTTTTATGTATTGAACATTATGTGGTAGCAGGTACATATAGAAAAGTAACATTTCTTTACTTTTTTTTTTGGTGATTTGCTGATAATAATAATAATATAGATTGGTTTTGCTTCTACTACCAAGAACTCCTCATCACTAGTTTGTTCAATGTCCTTGGATTTCCATGTTCATCCCCCATCCCGGCCGGATAAAATGCCAACCATCTCTGCTTCGCCATTGCTTCTTCCCAAAATATTCCAACAACTTCTCCAGGCGCAGCAGGAAAGCAGAGATTGTAGGCAATTTAAACTCGAGGCAGAACATCATAACTTAAACCCAACATGGTGGGAGTTCCTTATTCTCAGCCATGGAAATTTAGCTATAGAGCTAGGAAGATCGCAAGTTGTGTCCTTTTTTAACTCTAGGGAGGAATGACGATGCCGAGGAACTTTGCAGAGGTACCCTGTTCTGCAACTCTGCTCTTTTTCGCCCTATGCGGTGGCTCTGGGGAAGAAGAGACGGAGGAAGATGCAGAGTCGTCAGATTGGTCGGAGCTGAAGCTCAAATCCATTACCCCATTTGGGCTCCCTGGAATCGAGTCCAACTTCCTCCGCTTCTTCCATTGGCTTCCGGATGATACCAATTCCATTATCAAATGTCCGCAACCATTTATCTGCTCCTGCCATCACAAGGATTCACAAAATCCAGTTCAGATTCGGAGATCCAACCCATTGTATACTTTTTTTGTTGGTCAAAATTGAAAATACCTCTTGGATTCCCAGAATGTCTAGCAACTGGCGTTGGTATTCAGCCCCAACAGAGGGCTCCTCCACGCCATTGATGACATGAAGCATTGCAGCCGTGGCCACTACAGAAGGTGCATAACACAATGACCTAGAATCTGTATGAAAAAAAAAAAAAGTAATAACAAGTTAAGAAAAAGAAGCAAACTTTCATATGGGTTCATTGTGGGACTAAAAACCCTCGATCGATTTTCCTTACCTGAGATTAGTGAGACGATTAACCGCTCGCATCGACTGACGAACTGAAAACAGAGATAGTCCTTGAGTCCCAGCCGCCTGGCCATGTAATCGAGGAACGACAATGGGGTAACAGGGTTCATCCGCCATTTCAGAGCAGAGAGCACCATAATCTCCATCCTCTGTATCGTCTTCGGCTCAAACAAATACCTACTCTCCCCAACCTGCAAAACCCCCCCAAAAAAGGAAAACGCAAAACCTTAGATTAATATCTAATCGGCAGTGAGGAAACTGTGAAATAGCAAAAGGGTAGGCGAAAATCGAAATCGACGACAAAATCAATCATACCTGTAGGTCGATTAGAAGAGGGACGCGTGTCTCCTCCACTTTGGCCGCAACAGAGAGGCAGGCGACGGCGGCGAGCTGGGTCATCCACGGCTTGTCGGCCTGAAGGTGGAAAGTGACAAGGAATCGATCGAGGTAATTGAGAGCCA